GTTTGTGACTGATCAGGTGGTTGCTATTGAAGTTCAGTATTTGCGTCGTATTTGTCGCTTTACTGAACATTTTGGTTTTTAGGCCACCACAATCTTTGCGGCAGACGAGAACATCCATGAAGGCCAGCTGATTGTTTTCCTCCTCCTCCATCGTAACTTGAATGTTCGGGAAGATGGCGTTAAGATATTCTTCGAACGTCAGCACCTTATCCCGTTCGATGACCACAAAGGTGTCATCCACATACCGAGCCCAAAATTTCGGTCTGTGGTGTCGGAAAACCAGCGACTCCAGCAGTTGTAGGACCGCCTCGGCTATAAGTCCCGAAATCGACGAACCCATTGGCGTTCCCTTAACCTGCTCGTAGATTATTTCGTCGAATGTAAAGCACGTCTTGATACAGAACTTCAGGAACTGGATGATTAGGGCGTGTCCGAGGCGATTCTACTTTTCGTCGTATTTCTCTCCTAGGAGTAGTTCGATGGTCTCGACTGCCAGGTCCTGCGGGATAGAATAAAAAGGGGACGAGACATCAAAGAAAACCGTGATATCGCTTGGCATGAGACTTACTTATTTAAGTTTCATCAAGAATTGCGTTGGCGAGCTGACTGTGATGTTCGAATCGGAGGTCAGAAACTTGATACGTTAGAACAGCCACTTTGCCTCTCCGTAGGTTGGAGTGTCTTTTAGTGACACGATAGGCCGGAGAGGAGTCCCCTCTTTGTGCACTTTTGGGAGACGGTATAATCGGGCTAGGGCCGTTTCTTGTGCTCTCGCCATGCGTCGGCCGATTGGCGATATTGCACCTCAGTTCACCATTGCCAACCGCGTTAATCTCCCGTGTCAGCCTTTTTATGTGGTTGGATTCGCATGGGACATAGGACTGACGATCTTCCGACATGTTTTTGGCTCTTTGATTGTAGTCTGTCCTGTCCAACACGACCGTTGAACGCCCCTAGTCCGCAGGCACGATAACGAAGTCGTTGTCGGCGCTGAGTTTCTTAATTGCATCGCGCTCGACCTTGGAAAGCACGTCGCGCGGCCTATGAGCCATGAGGAGGGAGGACACTTGATTTCGAATGAGGTTCGTCGTTTCGTCTGTCGCTGCCGTCTGGCTGAGGATTGATTCCACTGCTGCGATTATGTTGGCAGCTTTGGCATCGGCTGTGTTGAATGAGGCCTCATGCCGTAAAACCTGCATTTGTTCCTCCGTCTGCTCCTTCCACGACAAGTTGTGCACCAGTTTGTCGTTCTTGGATGACATTGGAGCAGACAGCTTACGAAAGTTGCTCTCTAGGGCTGGTTCGCGCGTTGCTTTATGTTCGCGGGCTCGTTCGGCCAGCCTCTTATGAAGCAATTTTATGCCGTCCTCGCCCATGAACTCGCAGTACCTTGCTGTCTCTTGGTCAATCCTCTGACGGTATTTGCGAATCCGTTAGTGACAGTCTTGAAGGAGGACTAGGATCATTCATCGACCGTGCTGAAGTACTGCGCGTCTCGCCGGCTGTGTGTTGACCGGAGGTTTTTATGAAACGCACTTCGGCAGCACATTGTTGTCGAGACACCTGTGCAGAAATGGAATCTGCGCATATGTTGACGACTATCGAAGGGCAAAAGTTTCCCACCGTCAAGCCGATCGGAGCGCTTCGCGCCCAAAAATATTGCTGATAGACGTAAACAGGCGAATTCGAGATAGCAGTTCAGAGGATGAAGATGCGATCACCGGAACAAGAAAATTATTTGCCTGACGTTTCGGATTCTCACTCGAATCCATCCTCAGAGACATTCGCAGATTAAGGTGATGGTGGCACCAGGAGTGCAGTATTTATAGCACGTGGCTGCCGTGGGACCGTATGCTTGAGAGAACTGTTAATCGCAGTGCGCATACGGTTCCACAGCAGCCACGTGCTATAAATACTGCACTCCTGGTGCCACCATCACCTTTATCTGCGAATTTCTCTGATGATGGATTCGAGTGAGAATCCGAAACTTCAAGCAAATGAATTTCTTGTTCCAGTGATCGCATCTTCATCTTCTCAACTGCTACCTGGAACTCGACTGTTCGCTTCTATCAGCATAAATTTTGTGTTAATATTTGTGCTTAATTGTTTTACAAATTGCAGTTATTTAGACTGTTGTTGTTTTGAAATTCGCCGCATGGCACAACATCTTAAAATTAACGGATAGCATGAGAGCTTTATATTTTAGCCTACTACTCGAGACCAATACAATTGTTTTACCTCGATACAGTTTCATTTGTTTCTTAAGAGGTCCTGGCTTCTACTCGCTAGGTAAGAGGGTGAAATACATTTGAAGAAAGTAATACCATTCTGGGCCAATATGTGCAGCATGGGGTTTGGTCAAACATGGCGTCTCATACCTAAAGTCGTCATTGCCAAACACAAAATAAGGACGAGTAAACGCTTATAATATTATTTCAATGGTAAATTTAGCCCTTTAGCAATTAGACAGCATTTCAATACTGAAACTCTAGACACTTAAAATGGCATTTTAAAGAATATGCACACTCAAATATAAAAAAATATTTTGTCTTCCTAAAACGTATGCATCCCCACAAAATGCCCTTGCGCTTTTAAATGGTCAGAGTGATCAGGCGGCAATTATTCATTTATTATTACTGATTATCTACAGCACCTGCATGCCAATAATTTTGTAAGGGCGTTTTCCAGACATATTTTAAGTTGCATAAGAATGAGTGTTTTATCTTCGCTTAATCTTATATCAAACGTGGTAATTTTATCACTTTACGTGTATCTGGCCTATTGTTATCGCACTAAAATCGGCCGAGTTGTCTTGACAATCTTTAAGCTGCCCATTCTCAATGGAGCGGGTATACTTGATCCGCCTGGGTCACTGTGGAGTTGAGACGTAGCGACAGGTCAATAGCTTTTGTCTGTCAAAAACCTGCTTGCTGCCACATTTGTTTTTCGCCCTAGTATGTCCAAATACTATACAACGCTCGTTCTAGAAATTCCTGTCATATACCCAGGTAGCCCTTACTGAGATGGCTAGAATGGAAGACATCACTGGGCACAACCTATGCTGGCATTTCTATATATATGACTTTATGACTTCAAAAAGCTTTTTGCTGTCAAAATTAATCTGATCATGATAGGCCAAGAAATAGGGCTTTAAAACAAACGGCGTCCCGTTTTATATCAAATCCAATTTGCTAATATGTGTCACCATATACGAGTGAACTACGGATAGTACGGCGTCATTGCAGCAGAAAACTAGCAGCCACCGTTTTAATTTTATCAGGTAGTCTAATTTTAGGCCATCATTTTGCAAAACTTTCCCCTGCAAATGCAAGTATTATTACTGCGATGCAAACATATTGCCGTTAAGATATAGTATATGACGAAAATTTTACGAGAGAATTCTCCATATGTTATTAGTCGTTTTTAGTGGAAATATTCCGATGGACTTATTAGGATTTCAAGCAGAAATATTTAATAAAGAAAAACTAATTAGTCGACTATTGTGAGAGGAAATCTGCTGTTCCATTAGATCTGACCCCATATGCCTCCAAATAGAAATAATATAGATTGGTCTGCAGTCTAGGTAATATACTAACAATATATACTAAGTCTTTACCAGCCAGAAGCAGCAATACTATAAAAACTGGACACACAGTCACCCAAAGCTCTTTCTTGCATATGGCTTAAGCACAGATGTTTAAACCTCGGGGCTGCGACAGTTCGCTGTCAGAAATTTCATATTCCTCATTCTAGTGCACCTAGTTTATAGGTGCACATTTACATTAGGGCAGGTTTTTTTCCGGATGATTGGTGGGTCTCTAATTTTTAGGGTCGCCAGAGAGCAAATTTGTGTTCAGATGTTTCTATTAAAATGAAAGCAAACTTCATGAGTTTTCTTCAGCAGTAAGGATGTGTATGATCGCAACAACCCTAACTAACCCTTAGCCTGTTGACGTGTTGTGCCTTGCTAAGTGTGTTTTTATCGTAAATGACCAGCGTCTGCGCTTGAATTAGCAGTTGACATAAAAATAACCGCAAATGCTGTTTCATATTTGCATTCTTTTATGCTGAATAACGCACAGTACAGTGCACTTCCATCACGAAGAAACGGATGTCAACTAAAATCTATTGCGCTGTAATACTCGGTTTCTGTATCATATATATTGTCTATGGGCATATTTTTCAATTTCAAAAGGTCAGACAAGGCATACTTATTGCCATGTCATTTCAGCAAGTCCACCAATTATGCTTGCAATTTAATTCTACAGGCGATGGTGTGAAACCGAGCCATGAATCCACACACTGTTTTCAATTGTTTTAGCAAAAGACACAACTGAACGGGAAGCATACAAACACTGGCCCTTTGCCACGCTGTATGTGCCGCTTACTAAAGCAAGAGAACCGACAAAGAGCTGTCAGGTCTTTTTGGACTGACTTGATGTCCTAACTGTTTGAATGTGTGGCGGTCAAGGATGTAAGATCAACTTAAACCACGCACAATAAGTTCGTTTCGTCTAATGACAAAAGTCAGGGAGCTGTGAGGACTAGTTTATTCTGTACACAGGGCAGGTTGCCGTGAGTTGGCTGTTTGCTTGCAACAGAGATAAGCGTCCGTTCACGGAGAGCGTCAGTCGCGGTGTGTCTTGTTAACGCGAGTGTGTGTGTCTAAGTTAGCAGGAGAGGGTGACTGTCTGCGTGGTGGTCGTGTGATTGGACTAATTAGGGGACGAATGGAGGACGCATACTCACAAGGCCTCACGGGAATCAAGCCAAAGCGTTCGACGCGCGTTAGGCGATACTAGTTTTTGAGTGCATCCGGGGTCCACTGCAGCTGGACCGGAGGTGTCCCAGTTCTAGCCGGCGGGGGTGGTCGTGCGTCAGCGGCCTGTCAGCGCTTATCGCGGTCATCGACCGACAAAACGGAGCCGTAGAAAAGGTGGGCTGGAGCGACTGCTACAACCTCCCCCCCAGACACCAAACGAAGTGAAGGCGTCGACATGCTAGCCAGCCACAAACCTGTCGGGCAAGTGGACGTGACGGCCAGATCGTGTGCGGCGAAACGGAGGGGGACTGTCGCCAGAAGTCGGAGGCACCACTGTTTGCGGCGGGGTACAGTGTTGGTGTGAGGAAAGGTCACTGTCGTCGATGTAGGCTTGCTTGACGCGATCAATGCTGACTGTGTCGGTCTTGCCGTTGCGGTCGATGACAACGTCTTTCTCAGATCGACGAAGGACTTTATACGGCCCGTCATAGGGGGTTGGAGTGGTCGTCGGACAGCGTCATGCCGAACCAAGACGAAATCGCACTTATCCAGGTCGGAAGGGATGAAGGAATTGGCCGGTGACGCCCGAGCGGGCGTTGCGCGGAGTTTGCGTATGACACTACGCAGCTGCTACAAATAACTGCAAGGCTCGAAAAACGTTAGCATGTTTGAGGGAGACACTAACTCACCGGGCAGTCGTAGGGAGTTTCCGTAGACAAGATCAGCTGCAGTGCAACCGATGTCGGCCTTGAGAGTGGAACGGAGGGACAACAGCACCAGGGGAAGGTGATCAGACCATCGGGAAGGATCGGGCTGGGCCCTAAGGGAAGTCTTAAGCTGTCGATGGAAGCGTTCGATGAGACCATTTGCTTGAGGGTGGTACGCTGTTGTTCGTATTCGGTTGGTGCCCAGAAGGCATGTGAGTTCGCGAAGCAGCGTGGACTCGAATTGGGATCCGCGGTCAGTGGTGACAATCGCAGGAACTCCAAAAGTGGACACCCAATGAGTCAAGAAAGCTCTTGCTACGGTTTCGGCACTGATGTCCGGAATACGCACAGCAACCGGCCAGCGAGTAAAGCGATCAATGCATGTCAGCATATAGGTAGAACCGTTAGATGGTGGCAGCGAACCTACCAGGTCAATATGCACATGACTGATGCGTGCATCAGGCGTGACGAAAGTTCCTGGCGGAGTAAGAGCATGCCGATGCGTTTTGGCTCGCTGACATGACAGACAGGATCGGGTCCAACGCTGTACATCCCGATTGATGTTGGGCCAGACGAATCGGTCAGTGATGAGTTTCACTGTCGCCCGGACTCCAGGGTGGGATAGATTGTGAAGGGCGTTGAACACTTGTCGTCGTAAAGTTGCAGGGACAAAGGGACGTTCATGTCCGGTAGAAAGATCACACGTTATGGTGCCAGTCCCAGTGGGAAGGGGAACATCTTGGAGGCGTAAAGAAGAGTCCTCGTGGCGGTATTGGGAGAGCTCGTCATCCGATCGCTGAGCCTCAGCCATGAGCGTGAAGTCTATGGCGTCTGTTGTGATGGAGGCCATCTCGAGTCTTGAAAGAGCATCAGCAACCACATTTTCCTTACCGTGGACATGTTGGATGTCGCAGGAAAACTGTAAGATGAAGTCAAGATGGCGGATTTCACGGGGCGAATATCGATCGGGAGAGGCCCTCAGTGCAAAAACGAGTGGCTTGTGATCTGTTAGAACAACTAATTCACGACCATCGAGGAAATGCCGAAAGTGCCGAATGGATAGGTAGACGGCGAGCAGTTCTCGGCCGAAGACACTGTAGCGGGTCTATGCTGGGCTGAGCTTCTTCGAGAAGAAAGCCGGAGGTTGTAGAACATCACCAACAGTTTGCTGCAGTGACGCACCAACGGCAGTGCTGGAAGCATCTGTCATGAGAGTTAGTTGGGCATCAGCGCCGGGATGGGCTAGTAGTGTTGCGCTCGCAAGTGCGGCTTTGACCTCATTGAAGGACATGACGGCCTCCTCGGTCATCACTAGTGTCTTCTTGGAGTGGGTCAACAGGCTGTTGAGAGGCTGCAGTATGATGGCACCATGGGGAAGAAAACGGTGATAGTAGTTCACCATCCCTAAGAAGCGACGCAGTTGGTTGATGGTTGTCGGAACGGGGAAGGCTGATATGGCCGAAACGTTTTCCGGGACGGGCTTTATCCCATCTGAGTTCACTTCGTGACCAAGGAAGATAAGACTAGGGACTTCAAACTCACATTTGGCGACATTGATGATAACGCCGTAGGAGTCGAGCCGTTCGAAGAGCTGTCGAAGATGAATCTCGTGTTCGGCAGCGTCAGAACTAGCCACTAGCAAATCATCAGTGTAGGCGTAGACGTAGTCGAGACCTCGCAGAACCTGATCAATGAATCGCTGAAAGGTTTGAGTGGCGTTCCTCAGACCAAAGGGCATACGAGTGAATTCGAATAACCCAAAGTGAGTGGTCACTGCAGTTTTCGGAACATCACTGACCTCGATCGGGATTAGATGGTAGGCACGCACAAGGTCGATCTTAGAGAATATTCGTTTACCATGTAGCGAAAGAGTGAAGTCTTGGATGTGCGGAACGGGATACTGGTCGGGGACAGTCACAGAGTTCAACGCCCGATAGTCACCACACGGTCGCCAGTCGCCATTCATCTTGGGGACAAGGTGGAGGGGTGATGCCCAGCAGCTGTCGGACTGACGGATGATGTCGAGCTCGAGCATGTGTTCGAACTCTGCCTTGGCAATCTTCAAACGGTCCGGAGCAAGACGACGTGGTCGGCAAGATTTGGGAGGTCCGGTGGTGGAAATATGGTGGGTGACTGTGTGCTTGATGTCCACTTCTCGAAATGAGGGGTTGGTCAGGCGGGGAAACTGCCTGAGGAGTGAGTGGAAAGGACAGTCAGAAATGGGCATAGCAGTAAGAGGGCTGACGCAGGGATTCACATCGGATTGACAACGGGCATGAAGGTTGGTGCTGCAATCGACGAGTCGGCGATTCTTCAAATCAACTAGTAGATTGAAGTGAGCTAGGAAATCAGCGCCTATGTGGGCGACGGAAACGTCGGCAGTAATGAAAACCCATCGGAAAATCCGACGAAGGCCAAAATCGAGCGTGATGGAGCGCTGTCCAAAAGTGGGGATGCTGGAGTTGTTGGCAGCTGTTAGACAGAAAGAGCTGCGGGTTTTACGTTCGGCCGGAGTTGGTGGAAACACGCTAACCTCGGCACCAGAGTCGACAAGGAATTTGGCGCCAGCGATACGGTCCCAGAGAAACAAACGGCGAGTGTGAACATTGGCAACGCTTGCAGCAGCAGTGGCCTCTGGTGGCGGGTGGGATCGTCTCCCTGAAGACGTTAGAGATGCCTGGAAAGAGCATGGCCGAAGACATCGTCGAGCTGCTCCTCCAAATTGTTGGTGATACCAGCAGACGTTACTTGGAGATTGTGAACGGCGGGTGTGGGAAACGGAGGAAGTACGGCGATGGTTTGGTGTTCGCCGCGGGCCGTTAGTGGTAACTGCTGTGAGCTGGGCTTTCAGGCGCATTAATACCTCCTCGAGCCGATTCAAGCGTACGCTAGCTCCTTGAGAATTTGAGTTGATGATTGACTTCTGGTCTTGGGACATCACGCTGTAGGTCGCCGGAAGATTATTGTTGTGGACGAAAAGTTTGCGGAATTCCAGTGTTCGGAAATTCGGGGTCACCAATTTGTGGCGGTCAAGGATGTAAGATCAACTTAAACCACGCACAATAAGTTCGTTTCGTCTAATGACAAAAGTCAGGGAGCTGTGAGGACTAGTTTATTCTGTACACAGGGCAGATTGCCGTGAGTTGGCTGTTTGATTGCAACAGAGATAAGCGTCCGTTCACGGAGAGCGTCAGTCGCGGTGTGTCTTGTTAACGCGAGTGTGTGTGTCTAAGTTAGCAGGAGAGGGTGACTGTCTGCGTGGTGGTCGTGTGATTGGACTTATTAGGGGACGAATGGAGGGCGCATACTCACAAGGACTCACGGGAATCAAGCCAAAGCGTTCGACGCGCGTTAGGCGATACTAGTTTTTGAGTGTATCCGGGGTCCACTGCAGCTGGACCGGAGGTGTCCCAGTTCTAGCCGGCGGGGGTAGTCGTGCGTCAGCGGCCTGTCAGCGCTTATCGCGGTCATCGACCGACAAAACAGAGACGGAGAAAAGGGGGGATGGAGCGGCTGCTATAAATGCCTACAGATCCTGTTAAATGGCAGACCGAATTCTGTCTCAATTAAATGGGATCTGAGTCTTGCCGATGATGCTCAAGCACCTTCGATGAAGCATTCATTAACAGGCATTTTGGTACTAAAATGTCACGGTTATTGTGCAGGCACTGAGGACTGACAAGAGCACCAATATGGTATGTTGCAAAAGGACAAATTTTGCAGTCGGCAATTATTTGTTCGCCTAGAATCATAGCATGACATTTATGAACTGCAGTTGTTAACATCTTAATTACTCAGTCTGAATTAACTAGGAGGTTTTTGGTCTTGTATAAGAATTAAATTGGCTCATCATAAAGAGCACTTTTCCGACTTTCCTAAATAATGCACAGTTGTTTGCTCATCACAAGATATTTAAACCATGATTCCTCAGTGTGTTTTCAATAAGCAGCGATTACTAAAGTGAGCTTTTAATATTGCTTATTATGCGGCATAATCCTAGGACATTAGTGATATAGTCGGAGTGTATCACGTTGTCATGGCCGCGTGCATAGCCGGCACTAAGTACAAAGGTCTGTTTACCTTGTGTGCATTTTTGTACGCCCTTATAAATATTAATATATTTTATCCAAAACATGCACAAAGGTACTCTGTTATGCACTTAAGAAGTACAACCTCACCATATATTTAAAATTCCTCCACCATTAAGAAGAACATTTAATCTCGTCACAAAATGATCGCTCAACCATTGTCCTTATTGTGGCATTCGTTTTTGATATCCCCACGAGTTTACGTATATTGTGTAGACAGAACATGAAGATTTGGTTTTATCTACTCGTCTGATCTTATTTGGCGTTTTCTTTTGTTTTCACACAACAACGTGGCAGATAATTTATTGGAAAAATTTTTATAATAGGTCCTTTTATCAACATGAACTATCTGCCGCATAGAATTGCATATGTCCGTTCATACGCGTTCTTCATTAAATATTCAAAATATTCAACGTCCTCTGCAAAATCGGATGATGCTAATATGGCATCTGTTAAAAAGTGCCTTGAAATATGTTATTTACCTAACATGGAACATACATAGTTTAATCGTCGGATGTCCTTTATACAAATGCAAAGGGCTTTGTGATGCGGCCTTTGCCAAACCCGCAAAAGCGCTTAAGGCGGAAAGTAACTTTCTCATCTAGAAGGTTCTTCGTAAAAGGAGCGATATGCATGATAAGGTACATGCAAACGGTGTGCTCTAAAATGCATTTTTGTCCATGGTTACATAAGCTGCGTGTGAGCCTAGACATCGGGCTGCATAATCTCGAAATATTTGGGTTTTTAGTCTTACTAGCCGCCTGTTAAAACCCACAGTATCCGTAAGATGGCCGTTTACGCAGTATTGCAATTTTGAATTTAACGCTAATATATCTTCTGACGCAAATCTATTTCGTAAACAGGGCACACAAATACACTTTATCCACTCACCTCACGACAAGTAACGTCTTCTTGAAAGTTTGCAGGCGAAGAGCTGGCAGTTTCAGTTCTAAATTTTGCAATTAAGAACGATTTTGAACACGGAAAATACCCATTCATATGATATCATATCTGCCCACCTACGAACATTATTCATTGGGTATGCAAAATAATAAACAAATATTAAAAAACCCAGTGCAGTGGAATTGACTTTTTTCTTCTTACATGCAATTGTAACGGCAAATTGAGATGACATTCAAACAAGCTATTCAACTCAGCTATTCATATAAAAGTCTGTTAAACGCACACATCAAGCGACTAAACACTTCACATGAAAGGTATCATCTTTCTCAATGAAAAGAAAGAAAAACATATTTTCGAATGCGTGCTACATAATAGAGAATATGTGTTGTCGTATGAAATGCAAACCAACATTTAGAAAAGTCAAGTTGGCTAGCACGTGTTTTCGGTAATTCTTCGTGAGGCCTATACAATTACATGAAGGTGTGAAAGTATACAAAATTAACAGTGTTTATAGGTGTTTCAAGGGCAACTATGCCATTAACATTCATCTTCCTCACGCAGCCCGCAAGACGGGGTCGCGGGTTTTGGTCCTTAGGGCTGGGGTAGGGGGGTAAGCGGGTACTTGAGTTATGATTTGGATTGAGTACACGGAGTACCCATCACTGTAATCAGGGATTTGAGGCGGCATGTCGTCATCACGTGAGGTTGGCGTTGAGCACGGCAGAGAGAGCGCCTGTATCAGGGTTTTCGGACAGCATATCACCGGATTCGCCAGCCGTATTGCCACTGCCTCGGCCGTTGCAAATATCCGTTGGCGTAGGCCTTTAGAGAAGCTTGTTGGTGTCCGATAGACAACCTG